CATCAGCCCCAAGCCTGCTCCTCCCATCCCCGCCACCACCACCATGTTGCCCTCTGCTCCCCCCTGCCACCATGGGCTGGCTTCTCCCCACCCTCACCCCTGGCCCTCCCCCACAGCTCCTGCATGGGGCCAAGGCCTGCTGCTCCCTTCTCCCCACCACTGTAGCGGAGAAGGGGGAGTGGGCCCGGACCTCAACCCCAAGCAGCAGGAGGGAAGGGGAGAGCGGGCCCAGGCGGAGGGGGGGCGCGCCATCATTCTTGACAGGCAATTGGCTAGCGTATATATTAGGTATATATTAGCGGCATTTCATTTTGATTGCAAAAAAACACGGATTTTGGAATTTTTATCAGAGAATTTGGGATTTTTTATCAGAGAACGTAGGATTTTTTTAAATCAGAGAAAACCAGGATCCCTGGTGATGACAGTGGTACAGGAACCAAAACAGGAGGAAACAGAATGTGAAAACTTGCTACCTCAGACACCCTGGCTCCCTCTATCAAAATGGGCCACTGGGGACATTTTAACTCTTAGTGCCACCTACTGAATCCCCAGGAAATACTTTCCGCTCCCTTGATCAGCTGGATGAGAAACCCACATGCTACTAAACACCTGGTGCTTGTGAGTCACCCCATCACATTCATTTAGATCATAATGCATCTGTCAGTCATGTAAAGACATTGATTAAAAGCAATCACTTGTAACAAATGAATCCACTTCCAAAGACCCAGGGGAAGGAACATGCTAGCAGATGATATGCAACTGGGAGAGAGAGCTTGTTTGGACAAACAAGAGGCCAGGAGAAACATATTCTGAAATGCAAGGTGGGGTGGCGGAGATATCCTATGCAATAACGAAGGTGCAAGACAACAGGCAGGACAAGATGCAGAGGGACACTTCGGAAAAAGTCCCTGGGGAAGCCATAAGTATAAAGGGGTAGGCAGGGTTAGAGTTGTGCTGAAAGAAGAGATGACAAGCTTGAAGTGGAGTCCAAAGAAAAAAGATTAAAACACAGGAATAATGAAGTCAGAGTAACTAGAAGAGGGTGATTTTTAGCAGTATACTTTATATAGATAAAAGGAGTAGTAACAAACTCCAAGGCTGTTGAAAAGAGATGGAAGGAAGGAAGGATGGGCACTTCAAGTTAATTACAGAACCAAATAAGAGACTTAAAGCCTGCCAGGTTTTCACTCCATTCACGTGTTCTGTATACAGAATCAACTTAACAAGGAGGACGGGCTGTTAGCATCAAACCAGACCTGGTACATTGAAAAGCTTCAAACTCCACAGGCTTCAGTCATTCAAATCTTTTCATAAAAGCATTTAATAGCAATCATTTTCCATTACGTACAATTCTAATTGAACAGACAAGTACAAGTCACCTGTGAAGATGCATTACACAACAGAAGCTTTAAAAACTGAAAGCAAACTACCTACTTATCTACTCTTCCAGGAGCACTATTTACTGCTAACAAGCACAGCAAAATGAAAACCTCCAACTGTGATGCAGTTATCCATACACCTGCATGCAATTACATTAGAGAGCACAATTCACACAAAAGACTACACTCTGGAGGCAAGATTCAATACAAGGGCTTTATTATCCTCTAGGTAATTAAGTTATTTTGTGTTCTATATGTTTTTTCCCCATCTCAGTACAAACTTCCAAAGCAATTCTGAAGTTAGCTGATAGGGTGAAAAATCCCAAAGCATTCTCCAGAAGCCGTAAGACCACACTATTCACATCTATGACTCCTAAAAGCACATAATTTTGAAACAGAGGACTCATCAAACCTCAGGAAAACACCATGGTTTGAATCGATGCAATCAGAAGCAGTGCTGCACTCAAGAGTATGAAATAATTTCTTTTTTATCCCCTACAAAACAAAAGGCTGAACAATTTAAATCAGGACAGCTTCAGGATCTGTTAACTAAACTTCAAAACTGGCTGGGACAAAACATAAAAATAGTCCAGGTGCACTTTTAAATACTATACTGTTCCAAGGGAGAAGCACAAATAGGATAGAGATCTTTCTCTAGCCAAACATATCACTGAGTTGAGTACAAGAAACAAGGCTTTGTAAGGATAAATGTTCCAGTACGTACCTTGCAAACATTTCAAGGTCTTTTGCAAAAATTTCTGAAAGAAAAATGAAGGGTGGGGAGAAAAAAAATAACACACATTTTTTAAACATTTTCAAATCAGCAGGGTGAAATCTGTTTCTGTAATTGTGGTGACCAATCATAGAGCTTGTACAAAAAGTGCACTTTTCATCCCCAAGTATTTAACTTAAGTATAAAAAAGAGCAGCACTCAAGCATAAGAACAGAGCACAACATGATAGCCATTAGGGCTGTGCGAAGCTTCAGATGCCGATTCGATTCAGATTCGGTACCTGAATCTCCAAATCCAAATCTAATCAGGGGACCAACAAAAAGGTCCAAATCGATTAGGAAAAGATTCAGAGAGCTTAAATGATTCAGGCAGTCCCTGCCCACTGCAGCAGGGAGCTGGATCCAGACTGAGCTGGTAAGTAAAGGGCAGGGGAGGGGAAGCTAGAAGAGGAGGAAGGGGACAATGGGGGGGACCCCTGCCAGGCCCCATCCCCTGCCTGCTCCTCCAGACCCCCCATGGCTACCCCACCCAGCCCCAGCTCCCGGTACTTTAAAAAAAAAAAAAAAAAAAAAAAAAGCCCCCACTCAATAGGTGCTGCCGGGCAGGGGGCGGGCAATCCCTGCTGCCTCCCACCACATGAGGGGCTCTGCCACAAGCCCCACAACCACCCCACAGGTCTAATATACATCTTGGTGGAAGCTGACTGGACATTAAGATAAGTGTCTGTGCACAGGTAAATAATAGCAGTAACTTTCTCTTACAGAAAGGCTCGTATGATTGTTAACATCCATACAGAGCAAAAAGGACCTCATTTTGGAAGACCCATACCTAGTACATTGTGTTATACTTTGGTTCTCTGCTTGTTGGTCTGCGCTGTACCAGCAGAATGTGAACCTGTGGTTGCCTTAGTTTTAAATATTTCAAGCTTGAAGACCGATCTGGAAGTTATTTGCTTTGGTCAAACATGTAGACCCATCCCCTGTTCGTAAGCATATGTACAAAACTCTGTGAGTACTAAACATTATTACAGGTCCACATGACATTGTTATAGCCCACTCCATATCCTGGCTTTATGGCAACATTAATACTTGTCCAGGAGATGAGAGACACGTTTAACACCCCAGCTCTTACCACATGTATCAATTGATCTTGGAAGTGTACAAAAGCAGCTGCTTTATAAGGCAAAGCAAGGCTCATTTCCATGTATTTTAGAGAGACCAGATATAAAACAGCAACAGAGGCTGTGGAGCTATTAGACATGATCATTTCTAATTATGAAGGGAAACAAAGCAATAAACTGACTTGGTAAGTAATCTCAAATCAGAAAGAAGGCAAGCAAACAAAGTTCCTCAGATGGTCCAGAGGCTTGCAAGTGAATTTTATATAACAGCTTTTATGCAAGAGCACGTGAGGCATTTTACAATTGGAAAAAAAAATGAAGTGCAGCTACCACCGTGTTACAAAAAACTATAAATGGCTGCACAGACAATATGTGCAAGCAAGCCTCATCCTTACATGTTTGGAGAGGACACTCCGCTTTGCACTAGCATACATCAACCAGCACAGCCAAGTTACCTAAAATCTTTATTGATCTCAATACTGGGAAGCAGTTTATTAACATAGGCTACCTTGTTGCGCAGACAGACAGGTGTAGGGTTTCGCATGTCTTGAATTAAGTACCTCTTTCATACCAGGAAAATAAAATTAGCATTCTGGATCACTTTTAAAGAGAATAAGAACAGTTCCATCAGCGCATGGACACGTACATACCACATTGCCTGAAGGTAATCTCCGAAATAGCTGCAATGGTTTGCTTGCTAAACTGAATGTCTTGATCTTCTGCAACTTCCTGGCAGAGACAACCCACATTGTAGTGAACTGCAGCCTTTAGCCTCTGAAATAATTCAAAACAAATTACTCAGCGGACCTTACATATCACCATATTAACTCTCACATTCACTGTAATGCATAAACACCAACTGAAAGAATGAGACACCGGTGTTACAGAGGCAGCGCAATTGGGATCACAGCTCAGCAGCAATAGGGATCCATGTGGTTTAACACTTGACTTCACAGGAGCGAGCTTTCTGTAAGGTAGCAACAGGATTACCCATGGTATTCAGCACAACGGGCGCTAACCGTCAAGGGATCAAGATTCATGGCCGTACACCCTGTCCAGTAAGAACATAAGACCAGCCATTTCCTGAGTGAGAGACAGGTCCATCTCGCTCAGCACTGTCACACTGCAGATGTTGGAAGGGAGACAGAACTGGGTCTGACCAGGGCTCCCCCCTTCCTCTCTCACTTGTCACCTCCAGCATTTACTGTCCAGGCAGCTCCGATTCAGAGGCCGTGCCCCTCGCTCCCTGCTCAATAGCAACCGATGCCCTTTTCCTCCAAGAACATGTCCAGTCCCTGTTTGCATCTGGTTAAATGCTCAGCTCCCGCCGGGCAGGCGGAAAGAGCTTCCTCCTGTTCCTTTTCAACCGGCTCCCTGCTCCTTTCCGTGTCCGACGGACGGGAGGAGGCTACATGCCTCCCCAGACACCAGCAATAACGCCAGGTGTTGAAGGGCGCGAGCGCCTCTGCTGTGCTCCAGGCTCCCTGCAGGACTGCCACCGAACCGCATCCAATCCTGGCTCGTGGACAGAGACGAGATCTTTTATTAAACCAACAAGATTTTTGCAAAAATAAAAAATTCAACAGTTAAAAAAAAGTTGAAGAAAAAAAAAAAAATCAAAGATCTCTCTCCTCTGTCCACGAGCCCTGACTTGCTTTCTTCCTCCAACACGGCTACAACCTGGATAGGGCACCATTCAAATCCTGGGCAACTGGTGGCAGGGGGTATTGAGTTAGTTTTTGGAGCAGGTATTGGCAGTTATTTGTGAGGGGGGTGGGTATTGGCAGTTATTTTTTGGAGGGAATATTGGCAGTTATTTCTTTGGAGGGTATTGACAGTTATTTTGCAGGGGGTGGGGAGTATTGCCAGGTTTTTTTTCGGG